CGTCTTAAAGATAAATTATTTCTGAAACTCAGGAGTGAATCTTGATTTACATTTTATTCTTTCATCTGATATTTTTTTCATTCCTTTTCTTCCATAAGTCGTACTGTAGGTTTTGGCATGTGGTTTAAATATAACTGAAGCATCCTCTTGTACTATATTTGAACAACTATTAAAGACTCGAAGTGTTTTAGTGTACCTAAGTTTAACCGGCTTATTCTTCTTCATAGATCTCTACAATGTTTTGATGGCGTTTGACATTTTTTTACTCAAACCGAAGGCAAATCAGGGACACTACGAACATGTTTTATACACATACCTTTTAATTGCAACGTAGTAAATTTTTATGTGGTTCAATACAGCAACAACATTATGTGGCAACATTGTTTGAGTAAATCGTAACCGTAATCGTAACACCGTTGGACCGATTGCCACTAAACTTGGTATGTACCAAGTAAGTGGCATGTAACCTATTCCATGATATTCTACACGTATGTACGTGTAGAATATCATGGAATAGGTTTGACACCACCAATTTCGTGATCCGTCCAATCGGCTCCGCCCCAGTGGCTCTAGAGTTTCCCCATGTTAAGCTTATGAGTACTTATATTTAAATGGATTTAAAGAATCTTAACAGCTGGTTCAACTAAATAGCATTAAAAAGTTAGTAGGTTTACCAAAAGGGTGCAGCACTATTATTTTTTTTTATTTATGACAACAGCTAATTTGCAGGCAAAAGGTGAATGAGCGTAGCGAACGAACTTCAACCTAGGAGTGAGTTAGCGTAGCGAACGAGCTAAACCTAGGAGTGAGTTAGCGTAGCGAACGAGCTAAACCTGAAGGCAAGTGAGCGCAGCGAACGAGCTCCAACCTAAAGGCGAAAAAGCGTAGCAAACGAACTTCAACCAGATTGAGCCATGCAAACGAGCTCATCTTGAAAATGAATGAGCATTTGACATAAAACCACATTTGGACAGGACGACGTCTGTCGGGCCAGCTAGTATCGTATATAACTAAATGAATGTGGTAACGTTTAAACCAAGAGGTTTATGAGCTAACATTCAAACAATGATAACTACAATGTAACGAATGGCATATCATTGTAAAGAAAGTACATAGGAGGAGGAAAGATACCTGAACAGGCAAGCTCTTGAATAAAACAACTTACTACTGTTCTTATGGAAAATCTTCGATACATTTTTATATGGAATCATAGCTTATCGTACTCGTTGTCATAAAAATGGAACATTTTTGCTTTGACAAAATTGAGATTTCGTAATTTATGAATACACCCGATTATTTAACTGGATTCATCAAAGATGATATAATATATCAGCTATGCTCTTACTTGCACTAGATTCCCTCATATTTAATTATAGGCTATTGACGTTTTGTCCATAACTCTTTCAACAGCACAGATAATTCGTTACTGATAATATGTTAAAGTTTATATTATAATACGGTTATTTTTTACTAACCTTACATTTTACCAGTGGAAAGAGCTGGTCTAGTGATAGAGCACGAAACATCGGTCACTGGTACCCCGAGTTCAAATCCAACCAAATCACCAATTGATTTTATATAAGTAGGAATGCATCAACTCCTAGATTTAGCCTGAAATAATGGGATAAAAAATCCCGGGCTCGTGTCTAGCGTCCTAGGACAAAAAATATCTTTTCTATCATGTATTAATTTTCATTTGAAATGGCAATTCTGTGTCAAACGTTTGCATATAATGAAATAAAGGTATTTTGACTTATGGATACAATTATTAATCGAAACCAGCTATTAATCGCTACTGATACGATTAAACGAGTCTCACAATGAAAATTGCTCGTGTCAATACTTATTTCTTCGCCATGAAACTGAGATTATTTCCATTATCCAAAGTATCCCTTACTCCCCAGGGAGTTTAAGTCAGCTGTTGTAAACTTCGATAGTAAGCATCGCATATGTCAATATAATATATCGATTGATTTAATCGGATGTAGCTTATGAATTGTTACCTTCTTGTCAAAAGTTCGACATATCGATGGCATAATGCGCTTCAACACAACAGTATTAGACGAAATAATTAAATCACTTACTTAATAGTAATGAAATAAAGGAAATTTGTTGATACATTTAGCATTTGAAACAACCCATTATCCACAAGTTGTACAATTAACTAGTCCTACAATTATGATACAATGCAAGCGACGGGTGTCAATACTTATTTCATCGCCATCAAACCGAGTTTATTTCCATTTCAACCGAAAAGTCGGTTCTCCATTCCCGTTGGACGTTAGGTGATGGATGAGAGAGTTTGGGAAGGTGTCCCCAGACGCTATTAAACAAATTTGATCCGCGCGGCGCCGTCAGGGGCCTCTCGTTCGTTCCATACGGTTTAAAGCCTTTTAGTTTTATCTGTTTTGCATCACCTGAAGGGAATATTGATACATCGCTTTCCACCCTTTCAATACAAATTAAATACAACTGATGATGTTGTTATCATAATTGGTTTTCAATATTGAGAAGAACGTGTGTTGTTTCGGATGAGTATTAATTGTTGTGATTGCTTTTAAAGTTGGCTGATTCACAGGCTATATTGTGATACAAAATGAACATCCGAATTGTGTTTTGAAGTCTTATATTGTCCAAAAAGGTTTGTGCGTTGGGTTTGACACTTCAAAAGTGCGATAGTTGGGAAAAAGTGTTTTATATGTAATCCATATTACTAGTACCACTAGAGCTGGCCCGTGGTCGAAAGCTCGACCAAAAGTATGTATTGTGCAAACTTCTCTATTTTCTACGCTGTAAATAAAACATGTGATTGCAATTTTTTCAATTTGTTTTGATTTTCTGTTTATATTTTGAATTTTACCAACATGTACTTATTTTGTTACCAACATGGCAACCCATAAGGCCAATGTTAATTTTTTTTTCAAATTCATTTTCGTGCTTATTTTTTGAGCCTATTTTAATTTATAAAGGGATTCTGCACATCTACAGGAAAAGTATCTTTCAATTGGTACCAAACGCGTGTAATTCGGTCCAGTAATATGGTCAGACTAGTTGTAATAAGTTTTGCAAAACTTTCTTAGTACATAAGATTAGAGATGTTTTAACTACAAAACAAGCTCTTATGAACTTCATCCCCGATCAGATGCCATGTTGGATAATTATTATAGAGTTGTATTGTTATTAGGAGTTGTTATTAGGAGTTGATTGCTCAACTTGATGTTTTCGCAAGTACAAAGAGTATTTAATATTTTAGAAGAATGTGGTGAAAGTAAATTGGTTTTATGCCAAGAAAGGTTGCAATTAAACTTCCATGTGTTAGGAACCGAATAAATGTAAAATAATAACCAAAGAGATTGACATCCCACAATCAGTACTTTAGGAGGCTACCTCTACAAATTAAAGTTAGCAAAAATGAACTATTTGTTGGATTATCCAAAATTTTTGGACTCCGGATCCGAAGAAAAAACGTAGACCTACAATACATAGGTTATCATGCTTGCAAAGACATCATGTTTATTTTCATTTACAATAAATTCCGAATAACACTTAAACTCAAAGAAAACATTAAAGCTTGTTTTATCATTAAACAGTGTTGATTCAATTTGGCTTGCGCAAAAAAAAACAACAATATAAGGAAAAACTAATCTTAAAATAATGATTTTTGAATGACATTTTAAATGTACAAATTAAATATTAATTAACCCTTCAGAAAAGAGTAAATAGTTAGATGGCTAAGAATTATATTATTCTACAAAAGTTCGAAAATCTTAAACAAAAAGTCCAACTTAAACAGCTCAAATGCAATTTTACAGCACCATCAATTGAAACTAATTAAAATAAAAAAATTTTTACATTTAGTACCAACATGAATATAAGTGATGAGGTAATAATTATTCCTTTGTTACTCGTCTGGTTAAGTGATAAGCTCTCCGTGTATATTGCTGCTGAGAGGGACGATGTTTACAAGGACAATATGCACGTCTCGGTGAGATGTATGAAGGTCGTTACTCAAGACATTGTAAACTCTCTCACGTTATATCCATGTTGTCCTTACAGATTATCACATCACTCGTGAGCTTAGTTATACTACGTACTAAAGTCTGACAAGTGGTAAATAATATTAATCAATTTATTTACACTTTTTTTACCAATTAGAAAGTAATCTACGTTTCAGCCTATTGATAAGGAAAGGTGATAGATTTGAACTTCTAATTTATAGACTAATTTCGGTATAATTATTGTGAAATATTTTCTATGAAGGGTATTACTCGATCCTAGAGCCATACAAAAAAAGGTTATAGGAAATTATAAAAATATACTAATTCAACTAATACATAAAATAACCTAAAGCCTAAATTTAAACCACCAAACAGAACCCCTTACACAAAAACCCTTAGGTCAAAGCCACAAACCCAGTCCTACACTCATAACCCTCGACATTTAACCATACATTCTTAATTTGCAAACGTGAACCTTTCAGGTAAAATCCCCAATCCTACACTCCTAATTCTGAACCACTAACCCTCAATTCTAAAAACCCAACCTTAAAACTACAACTATTAACACTAATCTCCCCTAAATTTCTTTAAAACAATATCCCTCAACCCCCAAACTCTAACCTCAAAATTGTAACCCACAAATTCTAACCTTAAAATCATAAACCCCTAAAACCCTAACCTCAAAATAAAACCCTCAAAATCATAACTCCCATACCTTCCAGCCTTTAACCCTAAACCTCTAACCCTATAATCCTAAACTCCAACCATCAACACCTCAACCCGAGCCCCACAATGTTAAAACTCTTCAATGCTTTCCTACGACCTTACAGCTCATTCCATTGGTGACTCATCCCCCAACATAACGCTATAGCGAAGTTTGATATACACAGGTGATCCACCAAACACACCTGCAGCTCTGGGAAGGTTGAGTGGTCTTATCACAGACCACGCTTATCACTAGTGATAAGAAGAAGGTGCGGCTGCACAAGTGTGTCAGTGAAATTGGTGATAGAGTGCAAGTGCCATGGCGTCCGCGGATAAGCTAGAGAAGAGCATCAGCACCATCAAATACTTCCTGTTTTGTCTGGATGTCGTCACTTTTGTAAGTTTATTAGTTTACTGTCGCAAAAGTAGTATACTTAACCTTATACTGTGTGATTTGGACATAAATACATAAATACTTTAGTTTAAATTGCGACCATACGAAGAATACATTTTTTCAGTCTCTCTTGAGCTCAGGTTCATCAGTGGTTCTTCTCTTACTCTTAGAATAATTTAATACTTTTCAATGAAATGGCGACCATACAAAGTAGGTATTTTAAGCCAAATATGAGTAGAGATGAGTGTAGGATGAGTGGCACGATCTAGTAGTCTTGTTAGTGTCTAAGGCCGTCACGATACTTTGACACAGCTGTTAATTAATAGCCCATACAGCTAATGGCAACTAAGGGACCTAGAGATTATAGTGGAACCCGAATCACATTTTTGCCTTGTAATTTACTAATTGGTCCTATTATCAGGATATTACTGCGGATAGTCGTAGTACTCACTTGTGCGGACGTTAATACACACAAGGAAGCATCGCATCCACAGTGCATGCCTATACATATCCACAGTGCATGCCTATACATATCCACAGTGCATGCCTATAAATATCCACAATTCGTAACCTCCTAGTAGCTAGATTACAGGACGATGCCAATGCCCCAATCATTTTTTTGCAAAGTTAAATCTGTGCTATATTACTATGTTTTTTATGTTCTTGTTGAACTATATCGAAAATATGAACTGTGTACGCTTAGTTTATATAGGTAAAACCATTATAGCCCCCGAATCCTCACCTCAAAATCATAACCCCCAAACCTTTAGCCTTTCAACCATAAATACTTACTTACAACCCCTTAATGTACAACTATAAACCTTTAAAGTTCATTCCATTTTGTCTCATTCCTTCCATTTACAGCAAAATAATGAAATTATAAGTAAAATATTTATAAATATTAATTGTAATAACTATAAATACTTTTAAAATTAAACAATAATTAAAACCTTTCCTAGTTTGCCTAATTTAGACGATTCCCTGGCTAATACATCATGAAATTGTATTGTAATATGTAATAAATATGATCAAAGTAATATACAAAATGCTCTTTTGTTATATTCAAATAAACTTCGTTTACACAACTGTTCTAAACTTGTATGAGAATTTTCAACCAGCAATAATTTCGTTTTATAGCTGATTAAGCTTGCTCCATATAAGGGTAATTGGATTAAATCAGACATAAGTATTTTATTTGACACTAAGTAATAAATAACATGTATAATGCATTTGCTACGACCATACATTTGCATGGTCGCCATTTCAAAGTTAAGTATTAAAGTAGAGACAAAAGTTAGGATGCAATTACTTCTAAAAATCGTGGTTTATTATATTTAAGCTATCCTGAGATCCAATAGACAAGGGATTGAGCAACAAGATTGTATCTTAACCCAGGCTTTGCTGGAAAGAATCTGTTTCACTTACAATTAAACAGTGTTTTATAATTTTTAGTAAAAAGAAAAAAATACTTATAATAAAGACTTAACTAGATGCAATATAAGATGTCTAATGAAGTAATTTCATGCTGGACATGTTAAAAATGTATGATAGTTCATCTTCAGCATTCATTAATTTGAAACAAAAATTCGATTTCACGATGTTTGTAGTTAGTTCTACTAATTTCGATCGGTCTCAATACCCGTAACTCGTACGTACACTTACCAAAGCTGTCTAATACTTACCGAAGCACCATTTAAATCTCTTAAATACTTGTGTGCAAATATCCGACAATCGAAAGATGTGATTTTTAGTTAAATGTGAATGTTGCTGAAGATTAAGTGTCATAGTAGACAGTCATAGTTCAAATATTTGATTTAAAACTCGATTAAAGTTTATGTTTGAAACAATATTAAAAACTAAACATGAAAATCGAAATTTATAAATAGCTAGTGATATCTATAGAATTTATGACTCTACTAACATGTTCTGGGAATCTCTCCTTGATGTTACAACTTGTATGATTCATACTATGTTTATCATCAATGACACACTAAACAATGACTCATACAAATTCGTTTACAAAAGCAGTCGTTATCGGCAACTCACCGTTGTTTTTAATATATAAATACATTTTTACTTTGTAAAATATAATCTAAATCACAAAGCAGACTCTCTGTATCATTTCTTTTTCGTCCGTCCCACTTAACTTTTGGGATTGAGGAGTCATTTAAAAGCTTATTATCTATCGCAGTGGAGTATTGTAATTATAATGTCAAATTCCCTTTAGAGCTTGATCCCCTAGGCTTTTGTTTTTTGCTTAAGGGCGTTTTTAAGGTCACATGATGGTTTTTAATTTTAATTTTAATTTAACAGCTAATAATCAGTTTATTTTCTAACCACAGACAAATTGTAAACAACATACGGAACTGATTAGAAAATTGTAATTTAAATTAGCTTCTTTTATTGTTAATCTTAGTCGTTATCTATTGAGGTCGTTAAAACACTATTTATGGTATGGAACTACAACCGACATAATTTAACTACTGAAAATTAGTGATTGATTTATTTATCTAATAGTTCTCTTAAAACACGTTATGTTTTCTTTCAATACTTATTTACGTAGTATACAATCCTAATCCCTCTCGTTTACTTAAATTACCAGTTTATTTTAATTTCAGATTCATCATGCCATTAATGAAAATAGTGCCTTACCACATGTCCAATTCAGATTGTTTTAGAGTTTCAGACTCTAGTGTTTTCAACGAGTAACAATGTTCTTTGTCCAGTGCAAGTCATGACGTATGTTTGCGTTAGAAGCGCGCGCGTGTGTGTGCGTATGTGTACGTAGTGTTACTGTAGAGTGCGTGGATATTACGTCACGCACCGAGATAACTGTTTATTGCACACAGTTTCACCATCTCAGTTCACACTTTACGACAGAACTGAGCCTACTTTAATCAACGCTGTGTCTCTTATTTTCCCCAGCGTACGTTACCTCAACAGCTGTGTTTTATTTCAACGTTCTTCCATTGTGACATTTTCAGGTGTAAAATATATAAAACTTAATAGTTTAATACGTGAAACTTGTTCAAACAACTAAAGATTAGCTATAATTTATAGACAAATGAAATTACCATAAGCCAAGAGAGTTTTTTCCTATGTCATAAGTGCTTTCTTAGGAATCAAAATGTTGATAGCTCTATAGATAGGTTATTTTTAGTATTAAATTATATTTCAACCATGTTTGTTTGGGAAATATCTTTTAAACTACACTTTTAGTTCATCTTTAAGAAGTTTCAATGCTATGTATTGACGAAGTCTGACAAGTATGTTTAACTTAAAATGTCAACGTTATGTGTGTAAATATAGCTACAAACAATTTTTCACTACTCCAAACCATTTTTAAGAATCGAACTGAAAATATATAAAACTGCCACACAAAAAATAAACTTATTTACGTTATTTAGTCAGAAATATAACAGATTTTGTCAAAGTAATCAAGTAATTTTTAATTCAACCTATTGAAGCTTCATTTTTGTGATGTTTGTATATTTAATACAGAAACGAGTTATGCGTTTTATAAACTAGAAATCACAATAGTTTATACCGAACGTTCTTCAGCAATCTACCTAAGTTTTGAAATATTTTATTTTAGGTAACTATTTTAAGTAGCAATAATTATTACTTCTTCCACCTAATCGGATGGTTAATTTATATTACGCTTGGCAACTTATCTGTGAATATATATTACCATAGACAAAAATAATAAAAAGACTGTTATTAGCATAGGTCCTGGCGTCCACCACTTCGAGCGCCACGTAGTTACGTAGCGTGTACACCGTAACTACACAGCACTCCCATCGGTGGACGCCAGAACCTATGCTAACCGCAGCACGTCTGACGGTCTAATTAATTCTTGTTGTCTATATAATTACTCAATATTTAAGTAATAAATACTACAAATCATATTAAATACTTTCACCTAACCCCTTGCTTATTAATACAAAAGCAATACGAATTCCTCGTTTAAGCTGACCTGATTGTGGGCTGACTCACTTATGTGTTGACAGAGTTTGAAGATAACAGCGAGAGCTGATAACAGATAATACAGTATGTTACAGCTAGGATGTCTACTTCAGGTGTCTTTGGTTTAGTTTAACTCTATCGTTTACACGGCAAAACTCGAAATACTATAGCGTAGTGTTTGTTAGAGCCAGTAAACGTATTAAGTAAAACTTGTTATACATAGCTACGCCACGAGAAGAGACAACAGAAGAAATTATGAAGTTTTTTACCCCTTAGTTTCACCATTAGAAATACTTCATTATAGATTTTAGTTTTTATGGATTTTTTGAAGGCGATCGTAAAGTTTTTCTGGTTTTGTTAGGTGCTTTGTTCGTTAATACAAATTTTTTTCTCATTTGAGGAAGTTAAAATATTTTTTTGCAACTTTTATTATTTTGTTTTTATAACCTAAAAAGGAATCATTTGAAGAACCTATCTATAAATAATTAAAAGGTTTTAACACTTAAAGCAAATACTATACTACATCGTATGAACATCGTACAGTTAATTTTTATGGTGTAACATAGAAAACAAGAATCGAAAGATTAATTCAGGAAAAAAAGTTAGAAACTGCTATAAATACCAGACACATGTAACAGCTGGCACATATTTAACATTGCTTACATTTGTGTTTGTGTTTTGGCATTGTGTAAAACTGTGTATTGTTTTGTATCTATTTTAGTCATATATAATGTATGTATTTCTTTACAAAGTTTTATTAAAATAAAATATGCATATTGTATAGCCTCTTAATATAAAACTTTAGCCGCTGTCTTAGTTATAACATAATTAAGCCTTGAACAAGACTTTTAGACACTTATAAAATTTCACAATAAAAACAAAGTGGTGTTCGTCCAGCGGAAAAGGTCCTTAGTAAAATTTGCATTGTAAATTACAATTTTATACGATACCCAACGAGGTACGGCAAGTAGAGCAATGTCAATGATTAAATCTACATCGAGCACTAACACCCTGTATTAACTGACAGTATAATATTT